GAGATTGGCGTACAATAAACATAAATTTTCGTTTTCTAGATAGGACTATTGTTAACAACAAAAATGTCCAACGCATTTTTATGGACACGATGCATCTCTTAACGGAAAACGTATAAATGTACGCCGCACTGTCGCGTTACAGTAGAAAAATCACGATGAAAATGATCTAATTAGGTCGCGAGTATCTTATCTCGAATAAACGGTCTCCATCAGCTAAGTAATCTGAGAATGATTCTGGAAATCCGACAGTGTTCTTCCCGCTCGTTTCGCCGGTGGTACCACGTTTTCCCGTAAAACGCACGCACTAGTCTCCTCCTGCTTGCCCCGTGATTGTGATATTATTTAGAAAGCTTACCGTTGTACATAATTGAGTGTTTCAGTCGCACAGTAAATACATAGTGTTCGTAGTAATAAAACTTACATCGGGGACCGTTAAGGAAACGCAGTTTCCGACGCGGCCTCAGAAGAGCTGACTAGCATTGCGCGCTCGTTTCGCGCTCGATTCGCGCGAACGTTCTCCGGATTGTTTCAGCGTTTCGGCATCCTCATTTCCGCCTCCCTTCATCGTCGCTTTATCACGATGCTAGACGCGTAATCGCGCGTGTATAACGTGTATCGTACACGTGTAACAAAAATAGGTTCGATAGGTTCTTTTTTGGTCGAGTCTTTTACCAGGAGTCACCGATAAGACACACATGAACGTGGAGACCCGATCGTTCAGCCTTTTCCCGGAACACGCCGATTTCGATCAACCCTTTCGTTCCTACAGCGTTCACGGTACCGTGAATGTTCCCGATCGCGGATCCACTGGATCCCGATTCGCTCTGTCCCGAAACTGATTACAGTCGTCTAAGAAGGTTCGCACTCTAACAGTCAATGTAGATTGCTTGCGTTCCGAAAATGATTCCTCGTTCCTAGCACGTGCACGGTTCATAGCATTCCGATGGTGATTATAGTCGACTAACGTAGAAGGTTCGCTGCATTCTGACAATCAATGTAGAATGCTCAAGGATGACTCCCGGACTGCGGATTTCTCTGCAAAAACTGTTCGCATCGACTGCGAGAATCATTGTATTTCATCTACCAATTTTGGTCGTAGCATCCGCAGTCCTATTGTCACCCGAAGTAAACGTCTCATTGCACTTTAAGGTGACTATAGTCACCGAACGTCCAGCGTTCGCTCCATCCTAAAGGAGACCGTAGCTACTAAACCCGACGATAGCTAATAGAATTATACATCTGATATCTAGAAACCAACTAACGAGATATCGAGACAATTATCCTCGAATTTCATCGCGTGAAAAACCTTCTTACAGTGTCCAAAAGAAAATTTAGTTCCACCTCGAGCGCGGCGAAGAGTGCAACTGCAATTTCATCGAACAGCTCTAGCGAATGTAAAATGTAATAAATAATTGCTGCATGATCACGGGATGCTTACTGAACCGAGCGACTCTGCTCCGAACGATTTCCAACATGTTAACGGCGGGGAACGAAAGGGCTAACACAGCGGCGAGTACAAAGAGATTCACGGACATAGACGAGTTTGTAGAGATTCCATCTTCTTGCGAAAGAGCGTGGCTGCTCGATCGAGTCTGCGCCGAGAAGAGTAACTGCTTATTAGTTGTATTTTATCTTTTTCCTTTTTTTTTTTTTCGTTTTGCGTTTTCACGATGGTACCGTAACTCAGCGAATAGCTATGAAAATGGTACGGTCAACGTACAGATATACAACAAACCGTAATGACAGAGCACTGATTCCGTCGATCGAAAATATACAATATGTATATATATATATATACGTATGTACTGTACTTGTATCGTATGTATGTCTTATGTATAATAAGTGTAGCTATATGTGCGCCACATCAAGCGTTTTCTCCTCTCCTATGCCATTTTGTAACAAACGATCGCAGACGATGACGGATCGCGAGAAAACAATTAAAACGAACAAAACAGTTCGAACGGCTCGGCGTAGCCAAGTTTTGTGCGCGTCTATTCATAAACAATTCGATGAAACAAAAACGTTTTTCGTAATTGTGCGCTACGGAGATGTAAATATATATATATGTATACATACTTTATTCTTCTTTTTTCTTTTGATATACGTACGATATATTTCTCGTTAATACTTTCGCGTTAACTTAGCAAAGAGCAACTCGTTAACTTAGGAACATATGGGAGTAGTTTTGTAGGAGAACCGTCCTGTGTTAATTATAAATTACAGAGATTGGTGGTTTCTACTCAGGCATCGTTAGACGGAGATTAAACACACAGACGAAACGCGTAACACCTCGAAATTAATATTCCCTTCCACACCCCTACCGCCCCCGCGATTCTATGTTTTTCCGCTTCTCTTTTTTTCTTTATCTGTTTTGTTATCGGTTAATCGCTATTATCAGTTATCCGTTCTTAATACGTTCTTTTTTTTCGTTTTCCTTCGAAATCTAACTTAAATGCGCCACGTTCATCGTAGAAAATAGTTACTGATTTCTTCTCTGTTTTTAAAATTAGTAACATAGATACACTAGTAATTGCTCTAACTTGCCTGCCGTGCTCTTTGCCCCTAATGCACCCACAGGATTCGCCTAATCGTCGTCATCTATGATATAGAGAATATGTATATCATCGTAGAAACACACCACGACCGATGTATCCGGATATCTCCGAAACGTGCGCATCCCTCCCGTATAATTAAGCTAAACATCTCCACGACAAGCTATAATATATATGTATATATATTATATATCAATAAAAACTCTTCTCCTAGAATTACGAAGAAACAACTTAACTCAACGATACCGACGCAGCAGTATCAAACCCACCACCCCATCGTCCCCCTCCGCGAACCAAAAAGAGTCACGTGCGTACGTGTCGCGAGGGGTGGTTCTCGAAATAATTTAATTAAATCGAATAATAGCACACGGTTCGCTAATCATCGCCTCGCCCGGAAAAATAGTCTCAGCACGAAGAACGAATAGAATGGCTATGAAATGTACAACGTCGTCTAGAATTACACCCTCGCCCCCTCCCCGAAACCCGACAGAACAAACGAATGGATAACAATCTTGTTCTCGAAAGCTACAACTCGAATTTGCACGCGCATCTTGTGAACGATCGAGCACACGACAAGATAGGGTAATACTTGTTGATCCGATGCAGTCTTTAGAGATAGATAGATAAAGAGACAGGGAGATAGGGAGAGAGAGAGAGAGAGAGAGAGAGAGAGAGAGAGAGAGAAAGAAAGAGTAGANATAGACGAGTTTGTAGAGATTCCATCTTCTTGCGAAAGAGCGTGGCTGCTCGATCGAGTCTGCGCCGAGAAGAGTAACTGCTTATTAGTTGTATTTTATCTTTTTCCTTTTTTTTTTTTTCGTTTTGCGTTTTCACGATGGTACCGTAACTCAGCGAATAGCTATGAAAATGGTACGGTCAACGTACAGATATACAACAAACCGTAATGACAGAGCACTGATTCCGTCGATCGAAAATATACAATATGTATATATATATATATACGTATGTACTGTACTTGTATCGTATGTATGTCTTATGTATAATAAGTGTAGCTATATGTGCGCCACATCAAGCGTTTTCTCCTCTCCTATGCCATTTTGTAACAAACGATCGCAGACGATGACGGATCGCGAGAAAACAATTAAAACGAACAAAACAGTTCGAACGGCTCGGCGTAGCCAAGTTTTGTGCGCGTCTATTCATAAACAATTCGATGAAACAAAAACGTTTTTCGTAATTGTGCGCTACGGAGATGTAAATATATATATATGTATACATACTTTATTCTTCTTTTTTCTTTTGATATACGTACGATATATTTCTCGTTAATACTTTCGCGTTAACTTAGCAAAGAGCAACTCGTTAACTTAGGAACATATGGGAGTAGTTTTGTAGGAGAACCGTCCTGTGTTAATTATAAATTACAGAGATTGGTGGTTTCTACTCAGGCATCGTTAGACGGAGATTAAACACACAGACGAAACGCGTAACACCTCGAAATTAATATTCCCTTCCACACCCCTACCGCCCCCGCGATTCTATGTTTTTCCGCTTCTCTTTTTTTCTTTATCTGTTTTGTTATCGGTTAATCGCTATTATCAGTTATCCGTTCTTAATACGTTCTTTTTTTTCGTTTTCCTTCGAAATCTAACTTAAATGCGCCACGTTCATCGTAGAAAATAGTTACTGATTTCTTCTCTGTTTTTAAAATTAGTAACATAGATACACTAGTAATTGCTCTAACTTGCCTGCCGTGCTCTTTGCCCCTAATGCACCCACAGGATTCGCCTAATCGTCGTCATCTATGATATAGAGAATATGTATATCATCGTAGAAACACACCACGACCGATGTATCCGGATATCTCCGAAACGTGCGCATCCCTCCCGTATAATTAAGCTAAACATCTCCACGACAAGCTATAATATATATGTATATATATTATATATCAATAAAAACTCTTCTCCTAGAATTACGAAGAAACAACTTAACTCAACGATACCGACGCAGCAGTATCAAACCCACCACCCCATCGTCCCCCTCCGCGAACCAAAAAGAGTCACGTGCGTACGTGTCGCGAGGGGTGGTTCTCGAAATAATTTAATTAAATCGAATAATAGCACACGGTTCGCTAATCATCGCCTCGCCCGGAAAAATAGTCTCAGCACGAAGAACGAATAGAATGGCTATGAAATGTACAACGTCGTCTAGAATTACACCCTCGCCCCCTCCCCGAAACCCGACAGAACAAACGAATGGATAACAATCTTGTTCTCGAAAGCTACAACTCGAATTTGCACGCGCATCTTGTGAACGATCGAGCACACGACAAGATAGGGTAATACTTGTTGATCCGATGCAGTCTTTAGAGATAGATAGATAAAGAGACAGGGAGATAGGGAGAGAGTAAGAGAGAGAGAGAGAGAGAGAGAGAGAGAGAAAGAAAGAGTAGATATATAAGAGAGAGAGAGAGAGAGAGAGAGAGAGAGAGAGAGAAAGAGAGAGAGTCGCGTTCCATCGGTACCGTGTGATGCGAATTGTGCCGGAACCTCTGTCCCTTTTGTATGTTGTGCTTGTATGCGTTTTTGTATCTTCAGGTTTAACCGCGTTTTTTGCGCGTATGAACGTGCGGATTCAATCATACCGTGTGCACACAATCGTTTGTGTCACGTGTGTTCGTGTTTGTGTGTGCTGCACGCGTTTGTACATGTTCTCGCGAGTGTTTTCTGTGTGTGCCTGTATGTGTGTCGTAGGTACAAACTTGGTAACTATTGAACGACGATCCTTACCGGTACACGTCTAAGTGAACAGTCATTACGAAAGTCGACTCTTCGAGATGATTACTTGGATGAGATTCATTTTGTTTTGTTTTTTTTTAAAGTGGGTGGTACGAGTTTGTTTTATGGTTTTGTCGGCTGTTTTAAATTCTTTTTTCTGTTTTGTGCTCGTGTGACATTACTGTACCAAAATCGTTTCCGGCGAGAGAGGATCCGTTTGGTACAGCAGTGCAACGGTAAATCACTGCTTTCGAACAGTTCATCGGATATCGGTCACGTTGGCTTTGCTGCCAAAAATTTTTACTAGCTGATCCTCGTAATCGTCGATATTACGCTTCATGAGCTCCTTGCATGGCCCGAGCAAGCGTTCGAAAGCCTCAACGTCCAAGACTGCAAAAATTGTTACACTTTTAACACCGTGTGCCCTCGAGGAGCCACAACTACCGCGAACACTCTCTCATTCATGCCACCCACTAAATGGGACAACGTTCACACTTTTCTGTTAACCGAGCTGAACTCGTCCGCGTCTATCGACTATCTTTCTGAACATCTTTGGTAACATTACTTAGGTCTGCATCGACTGCTTCGTTATGGTCGCGTGGGTGTCGGTTACCCGGTTAACAGGTTGGCAAACATTAATTCTAACTAATCATCTCGGTGGCATCGGATTGCCTGGCATAGTTTTTCTTTATCGGATCGCAGCCACTTTAGAAAATTCCTTTTGGTTCAACTCGATCGTTAACGCTTGTGTAGGCAATCAAAACGTATAAATAACTTCGAAGCATTTTAAACGTTTCAGCACTCTACGATTAATCAGCAAAAGTAAAATGTTTTAGTTAATCTTCACATAGTCGAATGTTTTAGTTAATCTTTCATATTCAAAGAACGAGATCCATTCAGAGTGAACGAATGACTGCACACTGATAATAGTCGCATCAAAATGTTTTGGTAAATCTTCACATTTTCAAAAGGATCCCAGCGTAACTATCCATTCTTCGTGTTCAAAGAATGATTATACAGAATGAACATATATGAAATTTGTTGCACACTGATATTCACTTCAAAATGATCCAGCATCCAATCTTCGCATTTTCAGAAGGATCGAAGCGTAACCGTTCATGTATTACGTCCAAAGAATGATTTAGAGTGACTTTCTAATATTTCTAGTACACAAGTGCCTACACAAGGGTTAAAATCTGCGTGTGCACAGCTATTTTCGAATCTTAAATAGCAAAGCTATAATAAATAGAAATTGACATTTCAACGCCCCCAAATGCTGAGCGTGCGCGACGATAATTTGCGTTATAGGGGTAAAATTCAGGCGACTATTTTAGCATTAATCGCCACCCCCGCTGCAGGATTACGCTCGCGCCATTGCCCACACGATATCGCAACGATCGCAGCAATCCGACGCTACCGTTTTAAACGTATTAAAAGTGAACTTACAGGCCAGCTTTACGTCGCCTACAGCGTAGGCCGAAGCAGCGCGCGGTTTATGTGTCACGAGAGCCAGCTCGCCTAAGTATCCACCAGCGGGAACTCTATTAATCTGTGCCGGCAAATAGAATACCAAATGACATCTATACAATTGACAGTGTAATTAGCGTGGTGGTTCTGCTAGCCAGCCACGATACCGGCACACCACAGGCCTCGCCGTTTCGAGGTATCTGGGTCACCGATCGTGTCCCGGCCACGTCTTACAGACGATCAGAAGAAAAAATGATCGACGCACCGATTATTATGATCACCAGCAACGTACCTCGATCTCTCGGCCGTCGTCGCCTTGTATGGTGATCTTCACTACGCCGTCTTCGACGAAGTACATACCATCAGCAGTGTCGCCCTGCTTGATTATATTCTCACCATTAGAATACTGTTTCGGTACTAGTGCGTCTGCCAGGTTCATGCGCTCGTATTTCTGATGAAACAAGAACGGCTCTGTTAGTACTTCAAACATCGCATCAGCTTCGGTAAATAGTTTGATAATCTGCTAAGCTCTACGACAATTGCGACTCTTAATCCTCAAGTTCAAGAACCCTTGGTACGCTACACGTTCTTTCTATACAACCAAAGTCTCCGTTGGTTCTACCCAAACTTTCCGAAGCCTTCTCAAACGCTTGCGGTTTACGGTTCCAAGCTTCTGATTCGTTTGCAAATTTTAATCATTGAGCTCAAAGACTTTTACCACGCTAACGGTCTCGCGTGATTCAAAATAGAAGCTAAACATTTGCTCTATTCCAGGTCTGCTCGAGTTGGACAACCACCATTAAATCGCGTTCCCAACAGATGGTTTCGTTCTAACACGGTTAGAGCACTGTAGATTCTAGGTTCAACACGTTCACCATTGCCGTCCGTTTTGCAGCATGATAACTCTATAAATACAACTGGACTGAGGATTTTTGCTGGAAATAATTATTGATCGCGTTAATTGCAATGTGCAGGAAATAGTAGAGATCCTGAAAATCTTTCACTGTTCTGCATTTGATCTGTTCAGTTTCCTCGCAAATGCATCAAATCCACGGCCCAGTTTTAACATTCTATCGACTGCAACAAAGTTCGAAGTTCATGTAGATTTCATAGATATATCGATACTGCTAGGTAGATCGTTCGGTACCTACAAAGTTACAAGAGTCGTCTATTGAATCTAATAAATGATTAGATTAGAATCACAGGAGTGTTATTGTTTACTATCGCGCGTATCGTTTACTGGCCAAATTAAGATAATTATAATAAATAAATAAATAATTAAAATAATTATATATAATTAATTAAGATAATTTAGAGTTAAGTTAATCCCATGGTAACTTCAGAATTTCTTTCACTTGTCCTTCTAACATCTTCGCGCGTACTCGAAAATGTGACTTAGACCACGATGATTCTAAACGACTCGAACATCGAACAGCATTGCGACTAACAAAATCCCGTGGTTTCGCAGATTTCTCGAATCTAACTTCGTTTCTACATCGAACTACTCCAGATGGATCCTATTGAGCGGCCGGCACAACTTCTCACTACCGCGGTACCTCAATCAAAATAACGAAGTCAACGCAAACATCGAGCGGCACAAAGTGTACAAAGGAAAGGGCGAAATCTTGTTACGTAACCGGCAGGGTGGAGCCGTAACAGCAATCGAGCAAAGAGGAAGAAAGCTCGACACGGGGCGGCTCCTCCTTCGTTGCCGATCCGAGCATTAAATTCGTCCTAACGATTACCAATTCCCGTGACCCGTTCGCCCAACAACGAGAGGCGAAAGGGCGTCGGCTACGCAAAAAGCATCGGAGGTGGTTTTCGAAGCGGCCACGGTACACGCGACGTTTTCCAAGCATAGATCACATCATCGCCGACCCCACCTTTGCCAATTGTCTCTAACTCGCTCGGATCTGTTGAAGTGGCCGGTGTGGCGTTCCCGGCCGAACGATTAGCTTCCCATTGGGCGTCCCAGTGTTTCCCCCAATCATTCTCTCACGGAGAATAGAATTACCTTCCTGTGCTCTAATAACGCCGCGACAGACACTTGCCTCGAGTGACTTCAGCATCGGGACCTTGTTGATCAGGTCCTCGTATAACTTGCGCTTCTTGTACGCGGACTTGAGGAGGATGCGCCGGAAGACCTGCCTGTCCATAGCCCATAGCGTTCCGTTCGTAATGGCCTTGATGCTGGCTGCTCTCGGCATCTTGTAGAGCAACGCCAGCTCGCCGAAGGCGCCGCTGTTATCGTACACGTGAATCATGGACTCGACCCCGGTGTCCTGATCCCTTACGTACACCTCGTATTGTCCCCTGGAAAAGGTCGTTCTGGGGTCAGTAATCGGCCACACGGGTCACCGGGTCTCTATGGAAAAGGGGACGCCGCAGAAAAGACGTGGACGTCGAGGCAATAGAGGTGGGCGATGCCGGATAGGGGGACGACGAAGAGGAAGAAGATGGTGAAGGGAAATAGGATCTGATCGAGGGAAAGAGAATCATAAAAGAAAAGAGATCCTGATAAACGGGAATAGAGGTCCTGATGGAGAAAAAGGGGTCCTGAAAAGAAAGAGGTCCAAGGGAAAGAGAACGCTGAAAGGAAAAAAGTCTTGATCAAGGAGACGAGGACGTTGAAGAAAAAGAGGTCGATCGAGGAAGACAGGAGCCTCGGAGAAAAGAGGTCCAGATCAAGGAAAGCGGCACATTGAAAGATAAGTCCTGATCAAGCAGAAGAAGATGATGAAGAAAAAGAGGTCGATCAAGGAGAAGAAGACAACGAAGAAAAAGAGGCCCCGCCAAGAAGAGGAGAAGGATGAAGGTGAAAAAAGAACGATGCAGGAAAGGAGGGCGTCGAAGAAGAGGATAATGATGTGGTGGAACGTACTTCTCGATGACGTAGAAATTGTCACCGTCGTCGCCTTGCCGGATGATGTACTGTCCTGGCTTGACGAGCCTCTCGAACATCGCATCCAGCACGTCGGCCATTTGTTCCTGCGAAAAGAATTCATGGGATGCGTGTGCAAGCGTGCCGGGAATACCATGGCCCCGTTGCTCTGTCTGCTCTTTTCTAATCCAGACCAAGGACACTTGGCCTTCGCGATCGCGATCATTCTAGCGAAATTCAAAGCCTGCCGTGCTCGGCAGAGAAACGACACGGTCGTCTGGGTCCCAGGGAATATCCTTAACACACTTTTGCTGTTCGAGAGAATTATGCATTCCAAGGAGCGGTGTGTCTGTGCGCCTAAGCGCGCTCGGTCTTCGCGCCTAACAGCTTCCGTCGTTCATCAAATTCTTCCTCATGGTTCAATAATTGGGAAAAGTTCTACAATTAGCCTTGTAGCTGCTCGAATGGATGAAGTTTCGGAAGGATCATTTTTCTCGGACCAGACTTTGCGTTTAGCCGTGAGAGCCGCGATCTTGTTCATTGGATCACTTGGACTGCATAATAAATAGTCTGCGGATTTTATGCCAAAAATGCATAGGTCAGAAACACGAAATTCTAAAGACACGAAAAGAATTTGAGAATATATTTTTATATTACCTACAAGTTATTAAAATTCATAAAAGAGGAAAAACATTTCCGTCTGGCTCACGTTTCGTATAACCAAGTTAGACGATTTTCATTTTGCACAAACATGCGCGATCTGATGATAAGTTGAATCGTTTAATGGATGCACTTGTTATAAATAATTAACTTCAAGGATACTCGATTATTGGAGAAAACGCTTTCCTGTTGTCTTGGCGTGTATACTGTCCATGAATCATCTGGTTCAGATAATAATTCGATAAACTACAATATCAAGTTATTGTGCAGAAGATTGTTCTAAAGAAATTATGGTATAGCCAGAAGTTCAACAAAGTAGCCATACTGGGTCGTTTTATTTTTACGGAAGGTGAAGGTTCTACATATATTGGGCTATAAACCTTGCGTTTATTTTCTTTACGCCCTTTGCACAGATAAATTACGACCCTTGGCTCGGCCGAACGTTATTAAAATATAGCGAGACTGATCAGTTAAGAAAACTGCAAAACATCCGTCTAACATGATGGAAAAATGTCTCATTCGTCAGCTAGAAATTTGATGAATCCCATTATGGTTCCTGGCCAGTAAAATGGATAATCAATATTAAAACGATGCTTCAAAGCAATGAACAAGGTTCACGGTCTCTTTAAGACTTCTCTTTAAGTGGTCTCATCCAACACTTCCGAATCGATTCCGCAAACGTACGAGTGATTCGAGAAAAAAAGTACTTTCGGATCTCAAAAAATTGTCCACATTTTCATCGAGAAAGAACTTCGTTAAAAAAAGATAGTATCATAATGAATGTCGACTCATTTTAAATCTCGCTGTTTTCTCTTTTCAACTATCCCTCAAAACTTGATCTACAACTTTTTGAAACTGTTTCGTGGAACAAATTCGGACTGCAAAGCCTTGTGGCGTATCTTATAATACTTGGCGGGTACGTCTTCCCTTCGAAGCTGAATAAAACGACTAAAAAGCATCGTACATCAAGATTTCAGGAGTCATCGTAAAGAGGAAGGTTCAGTCTTCAAATCCATGCAGGATTGCTAGGAACAACGTTTTCTACAGTTTCATAGCATTATCAAGCAAAAACATCTCGGAATAAAAATCGAACTGTTCAACTTATTTTCAAAGCCTTCGGACTAATTATGGTACTTTTTGAATTAAAAATATTTGTTTCGTGAAATCTGTATCAACGCGATTCTATTTCAAAGTCTATTCGGACAGAATAATTATTTACAATCGCCTATCTTTTTATGCTTGAACGTTGCTTCTCTATTTCGCGAACAAATACGTTCGAATTGCTGTTGAGAGTGAAGACGCGTCTGTCCCGGCGAAAGGGTTAAATTGCATTTCTAATTGCGATCGCGCGGATTCTGGAACAGAGGGACACAGAATTTCGTATGAAAACTTTATAAATAGCATGCGAAACACGCGAATCCCCGTTCTTAAACGGTTTATTCTTATACCGTTGCTGTGTCGCGGTGGCTCGTAGCTTGTCCTAGGCCAGCCAGCGAATTTCACCGGTTAATTGATCGACTAATCGAATAATATCTCCATGTGCACGGGAAAATTGAAGCTTTTAGGGACGTCGGCGTGTAATTACGCTTTTCAAAGTAAAACGTCGAGAGACGAGAGGCAGCCAGCAGCCGCCGATGGCCGATCATTAGAGGTTGCTATTTGTATCTAGTCGGTTCCCTCGGATCAAGCTCCCTCCGATTCCGAATCCCAGTCGAGCAGATTACACGTACTCATTGGCATTTCCACGAGTTGGCGCGAACTCTCGCCGTATTCCCGTTTCAATTACCGAGCAGCAGAGCGGGAGGGCCGAGTGTACTATGTTTAAACTTACGCCGTCTAGAACCCGAAACAGAAAAATGTTCCTCACGCTGTCACTGAGCCTCTGCCGTTGCTCGTCGCTCTTCGGGTAGACTATCTGTAACCCAGACCACAGGCAATATTGTTAACGATCGATCGCCGATCGGTTATTCGCTCAACATGCTCGCTACAGCAGTTAACAGTAGCCTTATTACAGCGAACGCTTATGAATTAAATATAGACAAAAATATTATCACCAAAACGTTGTAATTTCGAGATTCACGACGTGCACAGAGTTCGTTCGATTTTCTCTAGGCAGAGTTACAGAAGTAAATGTAGTTTAATTTATATATATATATATATATATATATATATATATATATATATATA